CAAAACTTAAAACCAAGATCTACAAATCCCAAATTGTTTCAAAGTAATTTACATCTGACAACAAATCTCAAGAATATTTAATGAATGCAAAAATCCAGTGTCAAAAAGGGTAACATTTACAATATCTGCCATCCAAACAAAAATTATCAGGCAAGAAACAGAAAAGAAATTATAAAAGAAACAGAAAAATACAACCCATTTTGAGGACAGAAAACAACCAATCTAAACTGACCCAAAATTGACAAAAATATATATATTTGAATTATCAAACAAGGACACTGTTGAGTTTTGATCCCCAAAAAGATATCTTGAAATTCTAACACCCAGTACCTGTGAATGTGACCTTATTTGGGAATAGCATCTTTACAGATATTTAAATTAAGTTGAGGTTATAATGGATTAGCATGGATCCAAATACAATGACTGATGTCCTTATAGGAAGAGGGAAATTTGAATGCAGAGACACACAAAAAGAACACCTGATGATGACAGAGCTAGAAACTCGGAATAGTCAAGGAGACATCCACCCACAAAGCCCTCAGAGGAAGTTTGCCCCACCCACACCTTAATTTTATTCTTCTAGTCTCAGAACTGTGAACAAATTCATTTATCTTATTTTAAACCACCAAGTTTGTGGTACTTTGTTACAGCAGCCCTAGGAAACTAATATAGATATCAAAGTGATCATTATGTTTTAAATGTTCAAAAAGTATTATATAAAGAGACAAGGAAAATATTCTCTAAAAACCCCAAATTGAATTTCTGGAGATGGAAATGTAATTTATGAGATAAAAAATACATTAGATGGGATTAGTGGAAGATTAAATATTATCAGAGGACAGAAAAAAGAATACTGAATTTAGAGACATAGCAAAATAAACTATCCATAATCAAAAACAAAAAGAAAAATAATTTTTTACTGAGAAAAGCATCAATATTCTCTTTGTGAGATAATGTTAATTAGCCTAATAAGTGCAATAATTGGAATACTCAAAAGAGAGGAAAGAGATAAACAAAAAATATATATACAGAAATGGAGAAACAATGGCTGAAAAATTTCTGAAGTTTGATGAAAACCATAAACACACAAATCCAAGGATCTCAAAATACCCCAAGCACAGGAAACATGAAGAAAAGTATATCAAGGCACATTACAGTCAAATTGCTCTCAACCAATGACAAAGTCTGAAAAGTAGCCTGAGTAAGGGAAAAACAAAAGCATACTATAAAGAAGCAAAAAAACTTTGACATCAGATTTGTCCTTCTAAACAATGCAAGCAACAAGAAAATGAAGCAATATTTTTAAAGTACTGAAAGTTAAAAATAATGTCAATCTATGATTCTACCCCTAGGAATGATATCCTTTTTTAAAAAGAAGACAAAATTAATACTTGTTTAGACACACAAAAGCTGAAATAATTTATAACCAGCAGATATGTATGACAAAAAAAATTAATGAAAGCCATCCAAGCAACAGGAAAGCAACAGCAGTGGAAAATATGGATCAATACTAAGGAATGAGAAAGACCGGAAGTGGTAACTGTCTTATTATTTGAATCTCTTTAAAACATAACAACACTGTATTGCAGGATTTATAACCTATGTATGAGTAAAATGTATGGCAACAGAAGCATAAAGCTTAGACAGGGAAGGAGAAATGGAATATAAACAAGCATGGTGTTGAAGGGTTCTTTTAAACCATGTGTAAACTGGTATACTATCAACTGAATATAGACTACGATAACTTGAAGGTACATGCTATAAACCTCAAAGCAATGAGTATAATAACCAGAGTTATAGCTAAGATTCAGCAAAGATGATTAAACTGAATCATAAAAATTTCTTAATTAATATAAACATATGTTTAAAATAAAAGGAGAATTGGATCAAAGAACAGTGGGGGAAATAGAAAACTAACAGCAAGATTATCTGCTTAAACCTAATGTGAATGATGACATCAAATGTAAATGATCTTTAAAACCCAAACAAAAGGCAGAGATTGTGAGACTGAAAGCAAGGCCCAACTCTATGCTGTTTATAAGAACTACACGTTAAATATAAAAACACAGAGAGGTTAAAGTATGAAAAAAAGCATACAATGATAACGCCGATCAAAAGAAAGTTGCATTGGCTCTATCAGTAACAGAAAAGTAGATTCAAGAGCAAAGGCTTTCACAAGGTATAAAGAAAGCCATTGAATAACAATGAAGGGAACAAGAAAATAAAAGTCCTAACCACCTATTTACCAAATAATAGAACTTCAAAATACATGAGGTTCAAATTACATGAAGAAAAAACTGATAAAAATGCAATGAGGGGAAAAAATCCAAATTTCCAATTGTAGTAAAAAAGTTCAGTACCCATAGCTCAACAACTGATATAACAAACTTAGCAAAAATATATAAGACTTAAACAACACTTTCAACAACTTGACCTAAAGTCATCTGTAGAACACACAACTCCACAAAAGCTGATCACACATTTTTTTCAAGTACACACTGAACATTTTAGCAAGATTGACCATATTAAGAATCATAAAATGAGTCTCATTAAATTTAAAAGTATTCAAGTTATACAAACTATTTTCCCTGCGTAAAATGTAATTTAGAAATTAATAACAGAATAATATCAGTGAATTCCTCAAATATTTGGAAACTAACATGCTTCTAAAGAATCCACAAATCAAGGAAGATATCTAAAAGAAAAATTAAAATATTTTAAACTGAGTGAAAATGAAATTTCAAGATATCAAAACCTGTGAGATGTCTCTAAAGTAGTATACGGCAAGTCTACAGCACTATACACATACAATATTATAGAAGCAAAATTGTCTCACACCAGCGACCTCAGTCTTAAGAAACCTCTCCTTAAGAAATAAAGAAGAGCAAATTAAACCCCAGGTAGGCAGAATAATAAAATATTAAAGATCAAAGCATATATCATTGAAATAGAACATGAAAATATAATAGAGAATCTAAGAAACAAGAATTTCCTTCTTTGAGAATATTAATAAACCTCTGGATAAAGTACTTAGGAGAAAAAGAAGACACAAATTACCAAAATCAGGTATAACAGGGTTGACATTAGGATAGATTATATAAATATAAGATGACAATTCATTATATGACACAAACTGCTCAAGAAGAATTATACTACTTGAATAGCCCTATATCTATGTTTAGAAATTGGATTTATAGTTAAAAACCTTCCAATAAGGAAAATGCAAGGTTTCAACAGCTTCCCTGGTGACTCCTACCAAATAAGTAACAAAGAAATAATACCAGTTCTATAGCAACTCCTATAGAAATTTGAAGAGGAAGGACTATTTCCCAATTTACCCTGTGATGGAGGACTTAATTGCCCTGATAGCAAAATTTGACCAAGAAGCTAAAGAAAAGAAGACAACAGATTACTATCCCTTGTGAACATCTATGTAAAACTTTTAAACAGAATTTTAGCAAATCTAATTAAAGAGTATATTAAAAAGATGATAAATATGTCATGATCAAGTGAGATTTATCCCTGTAATGTAAGGTGGATTTAACATTCAAAACTCAATCACTATGATTCACTGCATTAACAACCATGGAACCATCACCACAAGCAAGATTTAAAACAGTTTTATTACCTATAATATTCTCTGGTGTTCACTTGTAGTCAGCCTTTCCTCTGAACCCCAGGCCTTTGCAACCACTGATCTTTTTCCTGTTCCTATAGTTTTGCCTTTTTGAGAATGTTATATAAATGAATCATTAATATGAATAATTACATGTAAATGCATAATATTTTGAATTTGGCTTCTTTCACTTAACATTATGTGTTCAAGATTTGTTCTGTAACAATGTCATGGTGATTAAAAACAACAACAAAAAGATTTGTGTATGTTGTATCAGCAATTCATTCATTTTTATTGCAGAATAGTATTCCAATGTGGAGGTATCAGAGTTTGTTTATCCATTATCTAGTTGAGAGACATTTAGTTCGTTTAGTGGTTATGAATAAAGCTTCTGTAAAATTTGGAATTCTCATATTTTAAGTGTACAGTTTAATGAGGTTTGATAAATGTATACATCCACTTAACCTCCAGCCTAATTAAGATATAGAAACCCGGTGTATTCCCTCCTGTCTTTTTCCAGTTAATCTTTCTTAATCTTTTTTTCTGATTTCCATCACCACAGCCTTTTCCTTCCTGCCTTAGCCAAGTTCATGTAAAAGGAATTATGCAGAATAGAAAGAATTGGCATTCCTTTTATCCCAAGAGGAATAAGCAAGCAATTGAAGACTTTTAAGAAGGAAATAGGCACAATCTGATTTATGTTTGTAATGACCTTTTTTGGCCACTGTGTAAAAAATGGTGAGTGTGCCACTTAAGTATTATTTTTCTTCCCATGTTCTAGAGGGAATATGGCTCAATAAAATTCCTGGACCGACCAGAATTTCCACTCTGAACCCATTCAGGGAGACTGGAACTGTTTCTGCCATTCCCGATTCTTCCCAGCAGATGGCCCCAAAGTCCAGTTCCTGAATTGCCTCGAGGAGCCGCGGGCTGCAGGGTGAGGCTGCGGCTGCCAGTCGATCTCCAGCACGCGCTTGGCCGCTGGAGCTGGGCAGCAGCGAGGATCCGCCAGGGGTGCGGGCGACGGCTTCAGCTGCACCGCGGGCTGGCCAGGGCTGCGCGCCCGACTCCGACTCTCAGCAAAAATGTCTCTGGCCAGGAGGAGCTGAAGTTCTGCAGGACATTGGTCCGCCCGGGGACGGTCCACTCCGCGGGGACTTTGGATAAGGAGTGCGTGCGAGTGGGCACCACGCAGACAGGGTGTTAGAAGGCTACACGCGGGGGATGATGGCACCTTGGAATTAAAGACGAGGAAAGGAGGGGGCATCTAAACTAGGCTTTGGAGAGAACTAATGGGAGGAGCGCGGGGGATCGGGCTGGAAAACAGAGGGGACAGCCAGGACGGGTGTTGGGTGTCAGGGAACAGACGGAGCGGACTGCGTGGGTCCAGCCAAGGAGAGTGCAGCAAGCAGGCTTGTTTGGGTCGAGGTTGCCTAGGGAAGCGGAGCACTTAAGTGCCTCTTCTTTCCCTTCTCCAGCCTCCTCTACAGTGGTGAGGTCACACCCCTTGGAACCCTCCCTCTTCCCACCCCTCCCGCTCCCGGGTCTCCTTTGGCCTGGGGTAACCCGAGGTGCAGAGGACCGAGAATGAGGCGATTGCGGAGGATGGAGAAATAGCCCCAGGTCCGGTGGAAAATGAGGCCGGCGGACCTGCTGCAGCTGGTGCTGCTGCTCTCCCTGCCCAGGGGCCTGGGCGGAAAGGGGTGTTCGTCTCCACGCTGCGAGTGCCGTCAGGAGGAGGACTTCAGAGTCACCTGCAAGGATATTCAACGCATCCCCAGCTTACCGCCCAGTACGCAGACTCTGTGAGTACCCGGGAGAGGTCAAGGTAGGACCCAGAGACAAAGGGCACCTGCAGAGGTGAACCGAAGTGCACAAAAACAGCTCAAGAACAGTCCGAAGGTGTGTGGGGGGGGGGGTGGGAAGGGGGGTGTGTGTGCGCGCGCGCTGAAAACTCAGTCACCTACACTTGGGAAGGTATCATTGTTGACATCCTCGTTACTCCTAATACAGGAAAAGGTTACAAAACTTTGGTGTACAATGACAGCAAGACTTGTTCTTTCCAAAAAGCTGCTATTCTGCACTTTGCCTAACCCTGGTTAAATCTGTTTTATTTGAATTAATAAGGATAATGGCAACTCAGGAATGGACCCTTTTGAGCTTATCTTGGGTAATAAAAAAAATTGCAAAACTATGTATTTCTTCTTTTTGTTTTTCTAGATGGGAGGTTATCTTGGCAGTTCTGCTGATTCATCAAATTGTTGACGAAAGTTTAGTCAGGGCCCCTTTTTAAAATGAACTATCTGTACAGTATGTGTAAGTTACTTACTCAAATGTCAACTGCCAGTAAATAGTGCATCCAGAACCCTGCTTTGTGATAGCCATGGTAGAGGTATAAAGAAATGAAATTTCATAAAAGCATAGTACATTTATCTGCATGTTAAATGTTACCAAATTAGAAACCTGATGTTAAATAAGATTGTCCACACACAATCTGCTTCTTAACAGCAATTTAAATCGGTGACCATTGAAATTGTAGACAAAACCAAGGGAATTAAGTCTTTCTTGATTGGTTAAAAATAGAACAGAAAGAAAGGATAGTAAAACAACCTGGGCTAGCTAAATCCAGTTAAGGCAAGAAAGTGCAGGTTATTAAAGAAAATGTTGACAGATGAAAAGAAATGGGAAAGTTGCACTTCTAGATTTTCTTAAGAATTTAACGGTATTTGATGAATACGCTATTTAATGGTAGATGATGAATATTTCAGCTCAGATATGTATTTCTTTGCTCTGAGATACCCTCCTTTCTTAGAACACCTGAATTAATTAGTTCAGTAACCTCCAAACAGTGTGGTAGTCATTCTCCTTGCTGCTACCATAGAATAAAATGTGTAAAAGGTGTGATACCCTCTTGATTACACCTCCACATGGGTTGCTTGTCACCGCTAGAATAAAATATTTTTGTGCAGCCTACCAGATCTTACAAGACCTAGTCAAGTCTTTCCAACCTCATTGCTCCTAATTTCTCTAACTTCACCCTCTGACTGAAAAGAACTTCTGGCACTTCCCCAAAGTTCCCTGCTATTACCGCTGTCCTTGCTGTCCTTCCCACATTCTGGCCCCTCTGCCTAAAGCACATTTGCCCCTTGTCTTCGTCTGGCTAATGCCTAGTCCCAGATCCAGATTCTGGATCAACCCGGCAGGAAGCTTCTCCTGACCTATGACCCTCAGGCTGGGTGAGGTATATCCTCCTTCCCAAAAGTGTTCTCTGCTTATCCCTTAGGCATTGTTTGCTTTCTTGTAACTTGTTATTTATTTGCATGCCCACACAACCAGGACACAAGCTTCTCTAACACGGGGACACTGTCATTCAACCCTGAATTCCTGAAACCCTCAAACTACTTAGACACTCAAAAAAAAGCTTAAGTGAATGAATGAACACATGAGTATGCCGGGTCTCTGGATGTCCACTGTGTGTTGGGGAGAAGTAAATCCAAAGACATCCCTTCATCAGAGACTTCTTTAACAGGGGCAGAAATTCAAGTCATTGAAGAGAGAGGTAGCTCTGACAGTGCAAAGAAACTCAGAGATGTCCTGTTTAAAATGCCACCAAAAGTTGAGAAAGAAAGGGTAATAGAGAATGAGCAATGGAACAAGAGTCAGGAAACCAGCAGTCTCCTCAGTCCTTCTTTATTAACTGTGAAACTGTGTAAGATGACTGCTTGGAAGGAGCCAAGTTTCCTTCTGGGTAAAAGAGAAGGTTCAACTAGGTACTTTCTAGGTGATGACATGACACTGATGAGAATAGCCTGAGGGAAGGCACTGAATCACAAGAAGTCATTGAGTAAAGACAGCGGCAAGGAGGATCTGACCTTGAGAATAATGGGGAGTGAGGTTTTATGTTCTGAAGAATAAAGTTATTCTGAGATGGAAAAGAGAAACTTGATGAAAAGTATGGGTAGAACAATATGGTAGTCTCTTTTGAACAATAGCTACAACCATCTGCAACAGTAGAAAAATTTTCAACTCTTTTGGGGGTAGTAGAACTCTTGTCCCTCCCCCCAAAAAAAGCATATGAGAAAAGCAAAACATGTAAAGCTAACAATTATATTGTGTTTACTTATGGGGGAGTCCTGTTCTCAGCATGTTGCAAGAACTCACCCAATGAATCCTCACCAAATCCAGTTAAGTAGGTGATGTTATTATCCTCATTTATAGATGAAGACATTGAGGCAAAAAAATTTTAAAAAATGAAGTAATCTGCTCAATGTTGCACAGCTCGTAAGTAGTAAAGTCAGGATCTGAAATATCATATCATCAGCTATGGAGCCTGCACCCATAAGCCACCACTTGCAGATGAAAAGTGTGTCTCACCGTACCAGTTTCCCCTGATGGTCGTAAGCTCTGGAGAAAAAAGTCTGAAAACAACTCATGTCCAATAAACCAACAGATAACCTTGGGGGCTATTCGTCAGATGCAAGAACTCAGAAAGCAGGAGGTTAGCAGTGAAAGGAAAAAAGAAGGGAAGGAAGAAAGAGAGGGAAGGAGGAGAAGAAAGACCATATCTAAGTTATGGAAGGTATTCCCTCCTGAAACGAACTAAATCTTTGTCATTAAAAAGCCGTTCTGGGTGGCAGCCCCTTTTTGGTCTACTTAAATTATACAGGATCTACTGCTGAGGCATGTTCCCTCACAAGTTTTATATTATTCAGAATGTACCTCTTTTTAAAGTTTTTGAAGAGCTCACACAGGGTTTAAAGGTAAGGTATTTTGTTCTTGTAGAGTTATTTGCATTACTTCTGCAACCTTCGTCAAGATTGCTGTATAACCACTTCTTAGACATTTTACGAATTATTATGGTGCCGGGAACAACTCTTTCTAAAGCTTATCTTCTACTCATAGACTATTGTTCTGAAAGGCAAACAGCTCTCTTGCCCTGCTACCCATATCCCAGCCCCGTGGTCTTATGGATGGAGGGGAGACAGTTACAGACTGTGGCCCTCACTGAAGAAGTGATGCTGTGTCTTTTCCTCAATCCTCTCCTCCAGAAGGGCATGATGCACTTTCATTGGTTTTACCTGAGTGGAAGGTGAGGGAGAGCTGGGATGCCTGCTTCTGCCACCACCAGTGGAACATTCTAGATTCTTTGCTATGCAGGCAGTTTGAAAAAAAAATCACTCTCTTCAATTGAAAATTACTGATTTAAGAAAACTTAAATGAGGCAAGAGAATAAAATTTAAAATTTAAATGTTGGCATATAATTATAGATCGTATCATCTCAAAACCAAGGATAACAAGATTGACCCATCACTCTCTCTTACTCAGAAAGTTGCCATTTGTTGCTTCTGTGCATGAGAAGATCCTTCCTTCCCTGAAGGAGGAGGTAGATAGGATTTGACAACCATTCTTTGTGTGGATTCTTCCTCAAGAGAGTGCTGACATGCCTTACTGTGTTTGTTTAACCTACCTGCTTTCAGTTTAATCATGATGATAATTTCCACCTCTGCCTTCTCCAACCCCACTGCTGTCTTTAGTCTTGAGTCTCAAAGAAGTAAGTGGTTTGTTCACATGCATGCCTTCAGATATGTTTCTGAAGGAGTTGTTGTTTTCAGGTTCTGTTTTTGCATTAGTCATTTGCATTCTGTATCTGTGGCTCTAATTGATGGACTCTCTCAGTGTTTACTAAACTGAAGACAATCGTTCACCATCTTTGGCTTTTGTGCCCTGTATTCCATCTGTGCTGTTATTTACTCAGTATTTTTAAGTTGACTCACTTCTCTAACTGAAATAAATTTAGAATGGTTACAAGTGGGAAATTAGCATGGCTTGGTATAAATAAGAGGTAATAGAAAACTAAAGACAGCAACAACAAAAATATAATTAAATTCTAGCTAGAGACTATTGTCTGAATATACTGAACCTACAGCTGCCTTCTCTTTGTTAAAAAGGGAGCCAACAAAGTGTTAATAAGTAGTAAAGAGGTAGCAATCTGGCATGGTGTCCCCTGTCATATTGAAAGGATGGATAGACAACAGAAAAAGGAATTAATTTCTCACTGTGTGATTCGGTGTTATTTAATGCCAGGTGGGCACTCCACCTAAAATAATCTCATGTATCTCCAAGTCATCTTTGTTCCACACTTAAAGAAATGTGGATGTTTTGTATATTTCACAATGGTTTTAGTCACAATCGGTGGTTGTAATGTGAATAACAATTGCTTCCAACCTAAAGAGAAGCCCTCCGCCTCTACACCCGCGTGCTCCCCAAACACGGCCCCACACTTGTAAAGGTGATTTCATTTCATATTTTCAGGCTCTGTGAATTATTCTCTTCCATTCTCTCTCTCCTTTCCCATACATATGAAACAGTGTTCTAAGCAGATTGAAGAATTCTGACCTAAAAGTTAAAGGGATTTGATTTATTCACTTGGGATGAACATAATAATGGACAATAAAATTTTTCTATCATATATATATATACATATATATGAGAGAGAATGTATATAGAGGGGGAATATATCTATATACCTGTACATATATATATTTAGACATACATATATGCATTTAAATCAAGATTTCTGGTGGTAAGTAACAGAAAACCCACTCTGTTTAGCTTCAGGAAGAAAAAAATATTTGGAAAGAACATGTCATTTACAGAATTACTTTAGGACCAGGCTTTGAAAATAGGCCAAGGCCTACAGTGGGCAAGGAGCTGGAGCCACAGTGAATCACCTGTTTAGGACAATTCCACGGACAATATAGAAACCACAGCCACTGGACATCTGTGGTCCTATAGCTGCCAGGCT